TCAGCATATTTTTGTATAGATGGGCAAACGCCATAGCTTCTTGTCGCACATTTTTCGACCGGTATAATCACTATGTAACAGATACGAGTATGCGGTATGTCTAATACAAATTTATTGATAACAAAAAATATTTTAAGTCTAAGTTTAGCACTCAATATATGTATGTAATTTCAAAGTCAAGGTATTTGAAAAAAGCACTTAGAAAGCAGACATTGCGCGTGCGCTTTTAATACTCCCAAATGAGCAGCACTTCAAGTGCACACTCCACCTCTCGTAGATCTATAAACTTTAATGCGTTCCTTACGGTTTAGGTGTACATTAGTGCTAGTAGACATAGTACTTACTATTTTTAATTGTTCACTAATGCTTTTACTTCGACATTTCACTGTTTTTGCTTTTTTAACCGACTTCCAAAAAAGGAGGAGGTTATCAGTTCGTCGGAATCTTTTTTTTTTTTTTATGTATGTTACCGCATAACTTTGGACCACGTCAACCGATTTCGATAATTCTTTTTGCATCGGAAAGGTAGTGTCTCAGAGGTGGCCCCATACTAATCTGGTTAAGATCCGATCAGCGGATCATGAGATATATATATATATATTTTTTTTTTATATGGGAGTTGAAGTCGGTTTTTTTTTTTTGCTAAAAATTACTTGTTTACACCATCAGTCAGTTTATTTTCATACCTCTTACATACGAGCACTTTGACTAATTGCTTTACTTAAATTGTTGCCTAGCATTTCAAATGCTCACACAAAACTGAACTTAAGCACCAAGGTAGTACATTAAGAAACAATAACAATTATATGAATGTACATTAGGGTGTTCCAAAACAAAATATCCGCCCAGGACTGAAGAAAATCGAAAATAATTGATATAAAATCATTAAATATAAATATTTCCTTATCAAAAAAAATATCACCTCGCGGTACCATAAATTGTGATAGCTACTCTATTTTTAACCGACTTCCAAAAAAGGAGGAGGTTATCAGTTCGTCGGAATGTTTTTCTTTTTTTTTTTTTTTTTATGTATGTTACCGCACAACTTTGGACCACGTCAACCGATTTCGATAATTCTTTTTGCATCGGAAAGGTAGTGTCTCAGAGGTGGTCCCATACTAATCTGGTTAAGATCCGATCAGCGGATCATGAGATATATATATATATTTTTTTTTTTATATGGGGTTGAAGTCGGTTTTTTTTTTCTAAAAATTACTAGTTAAATACTACTAACTCCTTTTACATAACCGATAATCTCACCTCTTATTAAAAAAAAAATTGATATTTTACGCCTCCGTAACAACATCGCGAACATTTTATAAATTATTAGTAATATTTTAGAGTTAAATCGGCATATAATTCCATTGGCTGAAGTTTTTAGAATGAAAATATTTGTATACGATCAAAAAATATTTACTTTTAACGATTTTATAGCAATTCTACGAAACAATCTATTTTCCCTACATAAAATACATATATGAACAACTGCAAAGCCCTGGCGGTATGGTTAAATATTAGGCGATTTCAAAATAAATAAATTAATAGCAAAAAACTAGCTCTCTAAATATGAAAAAAATCGGAATATTAATACGGTTTTCCCAAATATCTCGACTCCTGCGCCACCTACCGGCAAATATTTTTGGAAAGTTATTTCCTTCCATTTGGGTAATTTACATTCCAAACATGAACCAAAGCGGACTAAAAATACGAAGTTTTTAAATAGCTCATCGGGAAGTTGATTTAAAATTGATTGCAAGATTTTACCCAACAAACACTCACGGCAAAAAATATTGGCACAGCAAATTTTTCACAATATATGCAACAATTTTTATTTTTATTTTTTCCGCTCATTTTTGCTTTTAAAGTATTGTTCGTACTACAACAAAAAACATAAAAATATAATTTCTAAACCTTGTCCGAAACTCAAAAAAAAAATCTATAAATTTTGCATGCAAATTTTCAACTTTTAATCAGATTTTTTAGAGTTTTTTTAGCATGCAGTCTTTTGGTGTAACAAAGTGAAAGATTGTAATAGCTAAAAAACTTTTTCAACGCATTTCCTTCCATACAAAAGAAAACGAAAATACTTAGTATGGAAAAAATGCGAAAAACCTTCAACAAAAAAAAAATCTCAAAATCAGCGCGACTTCTTGGCAAGTTTTAACTCGAATTTCTTTATTTTAAAATATAATAGGCTTTATTGAGTTCAGAAATTATATTTTTAAGTTTTTTGTTGTAGATTGAACCATATTTTTATTAAAAATTTGTGGATATATTATGAAAAATTCTCTGTGCAAATACTTTTTGCCGTGAGTGTGCATTTATACAAAGCAAGTTAAATAAAAGCTTTTAAAAAACCTGTCTCCTTATTTTCTATTTTCCTTAATTCTAGGAGGTTGCGGCGAGTACATTCCAAAAAGTTGATTTTCTTGTCTTTTTTTTTGATCACCCTAATGTACATAGATACAAGTACCCAATATATAAAATGGCGGCAAGGAAAAATGCCAAGGTAACATTGCAAAATAAAAACAAAAAAACCTAACAGTAGAACTATGGCAAAGGCAGTAAAGCTCAGCATTAAATCGTCGATTTCGAGAGGCAATGACTTTTACGCTGACTCTGACTGTGACTCTGAAGTGACGGGCGACTAGAGACTGTCGCCATTTGGTGAGCCACCGGGCGATTTAGGTAATAAAGAAGCGCCAACGTCAACACTTTTATGACGACTCAAAGTCACAATGGCAACGGCAACGGCGACCACTATTATTTTTTACTGCACTCCAAAGAGATGCTGCCTGCCGTGTAGTGGTGGAGTACATCAAAGCTGCGCACTGCCAAGCGGCTGGATTTTTTTTCCTTTTTCTTTGCGCTATATTTGTTGAAATAAATATATTTAAGCAAGTTTGTACATACATA